TATTTATACAAAAACAATTTCTATTCGTTTACTTATATTATCGAACACATTATTTGATCAATTTACTGAAATATTTTAATTTTAAGTGTACAACAAAAATTCTGAAAAATATTTCAACAATTTCATGACTTTCAACGCTTCATCACGAACCTTCATCTAACGTATTAACAACCGTTCAAATTGTAAATACGATCGAATTAAATTTCTTTCCAATGTTACCAAAATTTCAAATGTTGATGCCCAAATGAAGTGTGCGATTATCTGCGATAAAATAATGAGATTTCATATTATCGTAAAAAGAAAAAAAAAAAACAAACATGTCGAAAACGATTGGGAAAGGATAATAAAGAGATTCGAGAGATTAATAATCGAATTTATTTATCTACTCAAACAATAAGAACACTTCCATCTCGCGGAATGGCGACCAACGTGCCCGTTTCGCGTGTGTACGATGATTTGCGCACGCGTTCGAAACTTATCGATGAGGAAAACCAGACCCCAAGAGGGGAGAGAGAGAAAGAGAGAGAGAGAGAGAGGAAGAGAACGTGATGGAGAAGGGAAGAACGAATGGGTCGGGTGGTAGTAATCGAGAGTGGGATAAGGAGAGGAAGAGAACGGGGGTTGGAAAAGGAAGGAATGAAGGAAGGAAGGAAGAAAGAAAGAAAAAAAGAAAGAAAGAAGAGAAGGCAACAGGACGAGAAATGTTTCTCAGTCGGTGGTAGACCCCGCGTTCGTTAAGTGATAAATTAAGTTTATCCTAATAGTTGGATTTTATGATTTTTCTAACGTGCAACGAAATAAATCAAGGTCACGAAAAGACCCTACCTCGTAGAGTAACTTGCAGTAATTGCAATCGTTTTTTTTAATTGTTGTTCTTTTTGCTCGTTCAACTCGTGAAATACGAAGATAAAGAAAGAAAACTGGGAGACCGGTACATACAGTAGTCGCGGAGGACGACAGGATCAACTACGGAAAAGTATTAACGATTAAATCAAAATGGTCATCGAAAAGAGAATCAACATTGAAAAACCTTATTGGGATCAGAGTACTTATCGTGGTAGAGCACTGCATTTTCTTACGATTACCAATCCTCTAAATGTTTTCGCATCGAATAAATCTCTCGAACGTGCACGAGACATCGTTACGGGATACAGGTAGTTGGTATTTTTTTCTTTTCTTTACCCTCCCCCCTCCCTTCCCCCAATCTACCAAACAATTATAAATAAATTTTCGAATTTAACGATTTGTATCGTTATCTGACATTACTCGATCTGCTTGTTTACTTTATACAATATACAATATATATGTGATATTAATATTTATCCTGTATAATCATAGGAACGGATATTCTCTAAGGGAATTAGGTATAACCGAAAATGAATTATGGAAAGAAAAATATTTATTCGACAGCGCTTATCATCCAGATACAGGAGAAAAGATGCTCTTGATCGGTCGTATGAGTGCCCAAGTGCCGATGAACATGACCATAACCGGTTTGATGATGACGTTTTACAAGTATGTATATGTAAAGAACGTCCGAGAAACTGTTTAGAAAATATGTGATAAAATTTTCACTTATTAGAATTAGATCGATTTAGTCAATAACGCGAAAGTTCAAAACTTACGATAAGATTCGTTTACGACTTTTGACCTGTTTTCCTTATTTCCATTGTGACTTATTGTTAATTACGAATGAAGTCATGAATAATATATATATATATATATATATACATATATTATATACATATCTTATATACATATATTAAGAGAAAAATGAAATAAATTGATTGACGTTATCGAACACGAATATTCCGCATCGCGATAAACGATAAAAAAATATTTGTCTCGCTGTTAGATCAACACTTGACACTAGTTTTTTTTCTTTTTTTTTTTTGCTTTTTTTCTCTATTTATTGTAGTTACGAAATAATAATTTTGTGTTATATTCGATAGATCAACACCGGCAGTGATATTTTGGCAATGGTGTAACCAATCGTTCAACGCTATAGTAAATTATACGAATCGGAGTGGTAAATGTCCAATACCGAAAGATAAATTAATTCAAAGTTATATTGGTGCTACTGGAGGAGCAGTGATAACAGCCCTAATTCTAAATAAACTGGCACGAAGTGGCCCGGCCTTGGCCGGTCGTCTTGTACCACTGGCAGCCGTGGCCGCCGCCAATTGCGTTAACATTCCATTAATGAGGATTACTGAACTTCAAAATGGCATTGAGTTACAAAACGAATCCGGCAAAGAGGTCGGCAAGAGCAAATCAGCAGCTCAAAGGGCCATCACTACAGTCACGTTATCGCGTATTCTTATGGCTTCCCCTAGCATGGGTACGATAATAGATAAATATATTTACTATCTAAGTCGTAAGATATGAACACGATACTAATTAAAATCGAGTATTCAAAAATCACATAATATTTTAAGTCGTTTACACAAATTTCTTGCTATTTTTTCTTAAGAAGTTTTACACGATTAACAGTTTTACACGATTAGAGAATGATTTTCTTTATTTTTCTTTTTCTGTTTTCTTTACAGTACTCTCACCGATCCTAATGAACTACATAGAAAAACGTAATCTATTAAGAAAAGCTAGATGGGTTTCAGCACCGATTCAAGTTATTATATGCGGAATCTGTTTAACATTCGCGACGCCACTATGCTGTGCTCTTTTCGTTCAACGAGTACCGATAAACGTCGACAAACTGGAACCTAATGTGCAACAAATGATACGATCTAAGGATCCTAATATTCAAACGGTTTACTATAACAAAGGCCTGTAAACGAGCACGCCTGGAATTAGAAATTCAACGAATTGTGTTCCTACTGATTAAAAAACAATGTATTCATTTAATCAATGCAAATTAAATAGATAAATAATTAATTGTTTCTGGAGATAGATGGATTTTATAAATATTTCTATTTGCATTTATGAAAATTACACGCTATTGATATAATTTAATCTTTAAATATTAAGTATCAAATACCATTGATCTCAAATATTCGGAATATCCGAATTAAAAAATAATAATGAAGACAATAAAAGAAGAATTGCGATAAATCATAAAGAATATTTTTTATTACTTGCATGTATATATTTACTATAAGGTTAATGTGAATATAATGATTTAACTAAGACTATTTAGATTACAAACAATAGTTTGAGGTGCAATAACCACACCTTGTGCATCAAGCCTTTTAATTTTTTTCGGTGGTTTTATCTTCCTTCCAAATCTTCCGGTTTTTCGTTGCCAAAGACCACTTTTTGGACGATTACCAAGTTCGCGATTTTTTTGAGCGCTACCAATTGGCGTAGAACCGTGTAAAATGTTTGACAAACGTCCTACCACTGCCATACAATTATTGTCGAAACTAAACTTTCTCTTGCTAGGTACTTGGACAACCATCCTGTCCGGACCATCTACTTGAATTATTTTACCTGTGGTTCCAGCCGAGTGTATGTATTTTGATCCTGATCCAGGAAACCGTTCAATGCAACATACATTGGTGCCAATCGGTAGAGCACCTAAGGGATAAGCATCGCCTTCCTTTGCCCTTACAGGATTACGCGGAATACCTCTATGTGTTCTTATTATATCTCCAGGTTTCATATTTTCTGTCGCTAAAATATACTTCAATTCGTCACCAGAACCAACGAGCGCTACGAAGGACGTCCTGCAACCATCCTTAAAAACTTCGATCACCCTTTCCTCTTTAGGTTTCTCGTTTAGATCACTAGGACCATCTCTAATCCAATTTATCCAATGATACTTGTATTTTATACCACCACCGAGACCTTTCACTACTACTCTTCCTGTAATACAAGACAACAATTCGATACGTTAGAAAATATTTTTAATTGAAAATAATTTTAATTACAAGTTATAATGAACATGAACTTCAAATTTAAGTACCACATATTACAGATAGATGTCACGAATAGTTAGATTGTATTAAACCTAATATATGTGTAATTGTTAGCATACATTCTTTTTCTTACTGTATAAATCAAACAAAAAACAACAAATCAGTTAAAAAGATATTTACCTGTTACAGGGTCTCGACCAGCTAAATTAGTAACCTTTAATGGTTCAATCGTATATTCATCTTTGTAATGTACGATTCTCTTGTAATATGTTCCTGGTGTACCTGGTTCTGGAAGTTTAATTAATTTCCAAACGTTTCTTTTAGATTGTAATTGACTGGAGATTGGTAACGATTTAGCAAAAGAATTAAATAATTGTTCACTGACAACACGCCGCAGTAACGTTAAGGTAGACATTTTTAAAAATTCCCTCTATGGAAAAAAAGCGAAGTTATAGAATATTTTATGCTCGATCGTTAACAGATCTAAACTTATTCCAAATAATACAGAAGTACATAAAAGCTCACAAATTCCCTTTTTTATCTAACCAGAATCATCTTAGTTACTACCAGGACCACCAGTGGGCGATAGTAGGTACTTAAAACGATGTCAGTACAATACTATCCAAGAATACAGTATTCTTTGATAGAATATGATAGTATAGGATAGTATATGATATATTTTTTCATAGTATATGTATTATACTTATATTGTAATAGAATTTTAAATAATTATATTTAATTTCAATAAATCGCTCCTAGAAATAGCAATAACAAAAATCTATTATAACAGGACAAAGTCCTAATAAAATGAGGAAGAAGAAGAAGAAGATATTTAATTTTTAATGTATAAACATGTGTGCCCCTTCATAAATCCATTTATACATATATTTTAAAAAGTAATTATTTAAGGCGTTCAAATAGAAATAAATCTCAAAGGTTTGTTGTTAAATCTAACGATTTGAAATATTGTTTAAACATATATGTTCTAGTATAAGCATTCCATATACTTATTAACATACTTTAAATATATATTAAATAATTTCGATGTGATATTCTTTTCGATGAAAATTTTCCCCTCCGAAGTCACCACTGCACAGAAACGTTAAAACAAATGTACATTTGTTTAAACAATTACGTAAAATTAGAAAAATGTAAAATCAAAACGTTATAATCTTAATTTCTATTTAATACAATTAATATTTTCGTTATACACACATGCGCAACTTTTAGAAAGCCATATAAACAATTTTCGATAGAAAAAACTTTTCTATGTGACAACGTATCAGTCTAACAGAAGATTTCGAAGAGGAAAGAACATCGATAGCTAAATCCATGCTTTTGGATTACAATATACAATTCCAGCGATTAATTAACAATTATTTTAATACTCTAATAAACTTTATTTATATTTAAAATTAGTTTAAACGCATATACATTGTTTTAAACATTACATACTTATTAAAGTACTTCGAATAGAAAACAATTTTGATACGTTATTAATTTATGATTTTTCTATATGACNTTCTATTTGAACGCCTTAAATAATTACTTTTTAAAATATATGTATAAATGGATTTATGAAGGGGCACACATGTTTATACATTAAAAATTAAATATATTTATTTAAAATTTGATTATAATAGAACTATACTAATTATACTTATCAAAGAATATATCATATGATAAAAAAAATGATGCTGGGTAGATAAAAAAGGGGACTTGTGAGTTTCTATATACTTCATCATCGGTTGCGGTTCTATACCAACTTTTTTGTGCTACTTCTGTACTCTTTGCTTCTGTATTCTTTGCCTATTCTTAATGCTCAGTCAATAATATAGGAAATAATAAAAAATAATGTTGAAGGGAAAAAAAAGATAAAATATGTTATTAATTAACCGATTTCATATATGATACATCTTTATTAAGTTACTTTCTTTCATAACATTATTTTAAATAATTCCAATTTATAGGACACAAAGTAAAATATGATTATTACTTTGCTTCTTCTTTGAGGATTTCAATTTCACTAGCAATTGCTTTCAAATCAGAATCAATGCTTCGACGGAATGACGAATCAACAGTAGAAAATCGACAGCTCGGGTCTATGAAACACGAATCTGCAAATAAATTAATATAGCAAAATATAGATACAATTTCTACTTTAACATATTATTTTAATTTTAAATATACCTTGGGAACAACAAATTCCACCTGCACCACATCTTCCTTTATTTCCATTGCACATCGCAAAGCCCGCCATGCAAGGACTCGAATCAAACTGTTCTTTTCTGCATTTTTGTGTTTGTGACGTACCAATGTGACAACCAAAGGTAGGGCCACAACAAATATTAGGTCCAAAACACTGACCCAGTTGACTGGGTCCACAGGGAAGGCACTAATTATTAGAAAAAGAATACAATGAACCCAAAATAAATTGCAGTTTAAAAAAGTGGAAAAAAATATACTTTATAATTTAATTATTATTATTATTATTATTTGATAACTATAAACTATACTTCTCTAATAGGACTTTCCGGAACTTCAATATCTCCCCTCTTCCCGCCACGAGGACAATTTGTAATTAGACATGCCGAAGATATAAAAATAAAAGAAGTAAATATAAGAATTTTTTTCGTCATATTTTCAATTAAATCTTTAACTAGACTATTTGAACGTCCTGTTGGATGTTCGAAGACGAACTGTGATAAATCGTCCACACGGCAATGTATTTATATTGTCAGATCAGTAATATTTAGTATTCCGATGTGCTTTCTACGGATATTTTAACAATAAAGCACTCTAAGGATTATGGGGATGAAATCGGTGTACGTAAATTCTTATATTATATTGTATGTATTTTATTCACTATATAGTCTCCAAATCGAAAAATGCATTAAGAATCCGCCATTGTTCGGAATCAAAGCTTTAATCTACATACATACATTCGCGTGCGCGAGAGAGAGAAAATAAATCTTAGTAAAATATAAAAAAAGGATAAATTTATGAACTTCTTATTTATAAAACCTATTCCTTATTTATGTCTCTCTCACTTTCTTTGCAAATACGTAAGATCAAAATGTTTAGCAAGTACTACTAATATCTTCGACCTTCATTTTATTTATTAACTTTGTTTTGACTTTTCTTAGTTTCTCATTCGTAGTAGGAGATAGCTTAATCTTCTTTCTTAATATTTGGAATTTATTAAATCTCGTTAGAATCGGAGATTTAAATTTACGACTAATTAATTTCTGTCGTTTTATTGAAGTTTTCTTATTGATTTCACCAACATTTTTCTCTAATGATTTCTTACTAATTGATGATTTTTTATTTTTATTCTTTAATTTTGGTATAGATGATTTACTTGATTTTTCATTGAAATCAATACTAGGGCTTGTATTCTTCTTTCTCTTTTTGATTAGAGTACTATCTTTGTTAGAAATCATCTTACGTTTTCCTAATTTCTTTAATTTGTTTTCTGGTTCTTCGTTACTAGCTTCACAATTGTTTTTTGTATGACCTATGAATAACGTAGATTATTAAATCAAAAAAAATTGTAGTTAAATAAGAATTATTGAATTTTAGGAGGTATACCTAATTTGTTACATTTGAAACAACGTCCTGAAATTTTCCATTTTTGATTGCATTCATGATTCTTTAAAAGACATCTTTGACAAGTATGGCAGTGTGTCCAAGTTGGTTTAACACAACGATTGCATTTATTGCAATGTATGTATGTTCTTCCATCTTTAGAAGTACATGATTTACATTTCTTGCAGTGTTTATTTTCATTGGAAACCCATTTCTGACATATTTTGCAATATTTATAACCATCCGATTCAGGAAGTTTTAATAAACTCAAAGGTATATTAGTGAATATTCTAATCGGTGATCCATAATTTCTTCCAGTACGATCTGTTTTAAAAAGTTGATGATTTTCGTAATCAACTTTGTAATCTGACATTTTTAATTCTCTTAAACCGCCAGTAACATTAGGTGGATTGGATTTTTCTCTTATAATGGGTTCCATAAAATATGGAAATATAAACATAATCTTCAAATGATCGCCGTCGCTTTCAATTTTGTTTAACTGTTTATGCAGATCAGAAATCTTCCTTATGGTTTGGGATATGAGTTCTACGCGACCACCAAATGGTGGATCACATATTAAGTACAAATCTTTACCGTTGTTTCGTGTAAGGAAATCTTTGAATACAAGTTGAGCATTGTCGTTGAAAAAATAATGATTGAATAAATTGTACCATGCGTAATGCATTGGGCTAAAAAAATTATGCTGAAAAAACAAATAAATCATTGCTATTATTGATATTAGCATAACCCCTACGATTATTATTTTTATAAAAATACTTACAAATCTTCCATCGATATCAAGAAGTAAAGACCATATTTGATTGACCAAGTTTAGAGAAATGTATTCATGTATCCTAGGAGCACCGATGCAAAGAACTTGCTTTGCTTTAAGTTCTAACAACATGTTTATGATATCTTGAACAGATTTTTTAGAAAATAAATATTGAGCCTCTTTTTTGGAATTTTCCAAAGGTTTAAGCAATTCCGTTGGATGATGCATTTGATAATCAGTCAAACCTATGGTCATTTTATGATCACTATGTTTGTCTCTTTCATGAACAAGAATCAATCTCTCGCAATTATGGCAATAGGATCGATTTTCTGGACTGGTAGCAAACATCATATTTAAATGTATAAACAACTTCTGATGATCGTAGCTGTTATTCATTTTCTTTTTCTCTGTTTCCCATACAATTTGTTGATGTTTAGTTAACTGTTCTCCATATCTTAAATAAAACCGGCATTCTTTTCTATCACGACATGCCGAACAAACATAAGATCGTTTTATCAAACCGTTAACGTATTGTTCAAATAAAACAGCTGGTCCTATTAAAGACAAATTTAAATAAATTGTGATTAGAAAATTCATTTCTATAAATATGATTAAGATTGAAATACTTAATATTGATAATTAAATAAAAATTACCATGTTTACAATATAGCAATGGATATTTATCGATTTGAGAAAAAAATTTAATGTTATATATTTTTATTATTGTTTTAACTTTTTTTTTCTTTTCCTCTTTTTGTCCTTGCTTTTGTGCTTGTTTTTTCTCTTCCTCTTTTTGTTCTTGCTTTAGTGCTTGTTTTTTCTCTTCCTCTTTTTGTTCTTGCTTTATTGCTTGTTTTTTCTCTTCCTCTTTTTGTTCTTGCTCTTGTGCTTGTTTTTTCTCTTCTTCCTCCATTGTAATAATCTAATGAATGAATCTAGACAAAACTAGAGTCCACATTTACTATATGTATAACGGAGCTATATACAAGGAGGACGATCGAGATAGGCGTTTGCCTCGAATTTGTGTTGTTGAAAATGATTGAATGTAGAGTACGATAATTATCCACGAGGGCGGCGGTGATGTTCTTAAGTTTGATTTAAGTACGTGTGATTTTATAAATAAACAAATGAAATTAATAGTTCTCTTTGATGTTTTTGTTTTAATTACGAAGCTTTGTTGTTCTAATCACGAAGCTTCGTTGTTCTAATCACGAAGCCTTAATTTTTTTACAAATGTGAATTGTAATTGAATTTTTTGTTTAAGATGGTGAAATATTGTGTTGTGGTGGATTGCATTAACAGTAAAGAAAACAAGTCAGATCCAGCGAATCGACGCGCTCTCTAGTAGCAATAGAAATCATCCTTTCATTATGAATATTGTAGCCACATTTATAACACAGCGATCGTCCTCCTTGTATACAGGCTCCATGATATGTATGCTCAGGGACGGCACTATGAACTGCAACGTCCCTTATCTTTTTTCGATACAAGCTAATATTTATGAATTTTTTTAAAGCACCCTATTGCAACGCGAAATTTATTGATTTACATTTATAAATAAATGTTTATATGTCTCTTTATGTATTTAAAACTTAACAAAAAAAAATAATTAACATTTATATATATAATTTTAATAAATTGTGTTGACTGGCCACGAGTAAACTCGTGTCGTCATGCCAAAACCAAAACTCTGAAAAAAAACTACAATAAAATGATTAAAATAAACCAAATTTTATATTAAAGATATTAATTTAAATTGATAAATTAATTGCACAAAAAAAGAGTGCAAATATTAAAATAGTTTCGTACGATAAGTTACAAAAAATATATATAAATACAATCGTGCATATTAAATTAAATTAAGGTATTGCATAAACCAAATGTAAACATTGAATTATTAATCTCTTTTTATCGGGACTGCTGTTTTTAAGATGACTTGATTTTGACCAAGTCCAAAAAGCGAAAAATAAAGGATAACATATTATTTTATATCATACAGAAAAAATTGCTGATATACTACTGAGCTTATATAATGCAACGTATCTTGTGAAACAGCTTTAGTCTAAAACGAAACACGAAGCCAATTGTTGGTTTTTTGACGTTTATTGCACTTCAAAATGACATCGACAAGTACTTTTGATTCTAATTGTATGACTCTTACGAGATTTGTTCTTGCCGAACAACGTAAGTTTCCTACAGCAACCGGTGATCTTAGTCAATTGTTAAACAACATACAAACTGCTGTAAAAGCTGTTAGTTCGGTTGTTAGAAAGGCCGGCATTGCGAATATGTAAGTATCATTTTCAATTTTATAAATAACTCATAGGTATTCAAAGTAGATAAAGTTAGTTTGTCGCAACCCTGTATTTATAAAGAAATGTCCATGTGACAATTGAAGAATAAATGTGACAAACATAAACAAAACAAAGAAATATACAATTTTATCAAATAATTATGAAGTAAACAATTATCGACTGCAACAAAAAATCAATTATTTTGTTTTTTTAATAAAAATTTGACAGAAGAAAGAAAATTGTTTCTATTTTAGGGTCAAAACTTTTCAAGCCATTCGCGTACAACGAGTAACTCAAAAAGTTCATGCAGATTTATAAATATGTACATATTTATAAATCCAATACGTGAAATAATTTTTTTTTTTCTATAAAAGAAATTGTTTGATGATCTCATCATTTAATTAATAAAAAAGCGGAATAATCTATTTTTAAATTACTTTGATATAAATTTTTGACAATTACCAACTTGTTTACGTCTGGACAATATCTTCTACTGTATATTTTTTTTAATAAGAGCGCAACGATAAAGATATTATGTTGTTCGAAAAATATGAAAGATTAAAGTTTATCAAGTCTGTTGTCGATCTGTTCGTGTTTTTTATTTTCTATTAAGAAGAGAAAAAATAAAGGAACAATTGTAAAGAATCGCCAATCTTTATAATGAAATTTACTATTTATTTTATTTGATTTTTATACAGGTATGGTATAGCTGGTAATATAAATGTTCAAGGCGAAGAGGTAAAAAAATTAGATGTTTTAAGTAACGAGTTGTTCATTAACATGTTAAAATCTTCATTCACAACTTCCCTTCTTGTAAGCGAAGAAAATAATGATGCGATTGAAGTTGAAACGGAAAAACGTAGCAAATACGTCGTGTGCTTTGATCCTTTGGACGGTTCCTCGAATATCGATTGTTTGGTATCAGTTGGTTCGATATTCGGAATTTACAAAAAATTAGATAACACCGATAGTTCCAATATTTCTAACGCTCTTCAGCCAGGTAGAAATTTAGTTGCCGCTGGTTACGCTCTTTACGGTTCAGCCACTATGATCGTTCTTTCCATTGGACATGGTGTTAATGGTTTCATGTACGATCCAGCGATCGGAGAGTTCATTTTAACTGAAAAAAATATGTCCATACCAAATAGAGGAAATATTTATAGGTATATATAATATTTAATATATTATAATTATATCTAATTTATTAGATTATAATTTTTCAACAATATATTCATTGATAAAAATTAATTTTGCGAGACAGTATTAACGAAGGAAATGAAAGTTTATGGGATACTTCTATAAAAAATTATATACATTCGAAAAAGTATCCTAACAGTGGTAAACCGTACAGTGCACGATACGTTGGTTCGATGGTTGCTGATGTACATAGGACTATTAAATATGGAGGAATTTTTTTGTATCCTTCAACAAAGAGTAATCCAAATGGCAAGGTATTAATAACAAACTTGTTAAGAGATTCTAACAAGTTGAATCAATACTAATGAGATTAATTGAATTATATTTTTAGTTACGTCTCTTATATGAATGCATACCAATGGCTTATTTAATTAAAGAAGCAGGTGGTCTAGCATCAAATGGGGAAATAGATATTTTAGATATAGTTCCAGAAAGTATTCATCAAAGATCACCAATTTTCTTAGGATCTAAAGAGGATGTTCAAGAAGTATTACAGTTCATAAAGAACAAGGCCAAATCATAAAATCGATTTCATTATTTTAATATAAAATTTCTAATTGGGTATATTTAATAAAATAAGATCTTTGATAAGAATTTCTTTGTTTATTAATAAATGCAATATTGAATATTTCGAATGATTTATTGAATAACACAACGAACACATGAAAATTATTGTATCGGACGTAAGTTTCAAATAAAAAATTTGTGAAATTAACTATTATTATGTATATAATATTGGTGCATATATACCACATTATTACATTTTATATTTAATTACTTATATAAGTATTATATATTTCTTATGCTATATATCTGTCTATATATATATATCAAACATTCTTACACATTCTTCTTGTTGTCAATCATAATACACATTCATACTACCTAAACCACTATAGAATTCTACAGTAGCAAACGAATGAACTATCATACTAAGAATTTTTGTAGCACTGTTAACGAGATAGTTCCATTTTGTTGTTAAAATTGACACAGGCGAGAACAATATCGTTAAACACCATCTGTCATTTCACATTAAGTTTAGGTATCGCAAATATATGCTTTCCTGGCAATATTTATCATGCACTGGAGGATTATGTACACAATTTACAGGGCGATTTTTCTAGCTCGACAATTGCTTTCAAATTATTAACTGCAATCGATACATATCCCAGAAAGTTATTCTTACAACACATTTGAGCCAATATCTTCTAATTTTTTAATGGTGAACTTTGTCTGTATGAGAACATATTACAAAGAAATAAATAATAATTAACAAAGAAAGTTGGCATTTAATTAACGAAATTGATTTTATATACATTTAATAAAATAATATATATTTTTCTGTTCTTAAATCTGGGCGTGTAAAACGACAACTGGTGTTTAAGCAGCTATGTGCAAAAAAATTTGTTGAGGATTTTTTTTTTTACCATTAGTTTTTCTCCTCTTTCTTTTCTTGAGGTTGTTCTTGACTTTGGTTACTGCTATCGCTACTGCTACCGCTACCGCTACCGCTGCTGCTGCTTTCTCTTTCTGCCGCCATCTGCATCAATCATAGGTTGATTTAGATTAGGAAAATTATATAAGATAAGTGGAAGTAAATATTTGAACAATTTTTAGTCAAGATTTTTAAATTTATCTGTTACGCTTACTTTTTTATATGCCATTTCGAACAATTTCAAACTTGCTTGTTGCAATTCATTGGTTTGTTTCTTGATTTCCTCGGGATCCATTTCATCTTTTCGGGCTAATGCCTCTCTTGTCTTGGCAACCAATTCTTTCAATTTGTCACACTAAAAATAAATCAAATTAATAATTAATTATAGACATAAAAAATATAAAAAAATCATTAAAATTACTATACCTCTTCTTGTGGAAGTTGTGCCTTGAATTCTTCTAATTTCGATTCCGTGTCGTGGATAATTCCTTCAGCTTGATTAACAGCTTCTACTCTTTCTTTCTTGATCTTATCTGCTTTAGCATATTGTTCGGCATTCTTTACCATATTTTCTATTTCGTCCTTGCTCAGACCACCACTGGATTGAATTACAACTGCAAATAAAAATCAGAGGTTTAAGTATTTTTAGATCGATATAATTTTTTATTTATTATATTTAAAATATTTAAATTTAACTCAGTTAAAGATTTCCACATATTTTACTCAACTTTGGAGTAAATTTTGGAGACGAAAAATAAAAGCATCATAGTAATAATAAAATAAATAATTTTTGAAAGACAAGAAATAATACTTTTACGTACTTTGTTGTTCCTTGCCAGTACCCTTGTCCCTAGCGGATACATGAACGATACCATTTGCATCAATATCAAACGTTACTTCAATCTGAGGAACTCCTCTTGGCGCGGGAGGAATTCCGACTAATGTGAACTGACCCAAAAGTTTATTGTCAGACGCCATTTCTCGTTCGCCTTGATGAACCTTAATTTCTACTTGAGTTTGACCATCCGCTGCTGTAGAAAATACTTGACTTTTCTTCGTAGGAATAGTCGTGTTTCGTGAAATCAATTTTGTAAAGACACCGCCAAGTGTTTCGATACCTATGAGGAATAAATAAAAGTAATAATAAAATATAAGTAATTCGTATAATTAAGAAATATTATTTTAATGAACAATCAGTAATACAATATCCTCATAATGATCAGAGAGAAGATTAGACTATTAAACATCATTTGTTAAAAATAACAATTAACGAGAAATGCATAAAAATCTTACCCAATGAAAGAGGTGTAACGTCGAGAAGAAGAACATCGGTAACATCTCCAGCAAGTACACCACCCTGAACAGCAGCACCAACAGCAACAGCTTCATCGGGATTAACAGCTTTCGAAGGCTGTCGACCGAAAATTTCTTGAACTGTTTGTTGAACCTTAGGTACTCTAGTCATTCCTCCAACCAAAAGTACTTCCCCAATGTCAGATTTGGATACTTCAGCATCGGTAAGAGCTTTTTGACATGGTTGTATAGTACGTTTGATAAGATCACCAACAAGACTTTCAAATTTGCTTCTTGTGAGTTTAAGATTCAAGTGTTTAGGGCCACTAGAATCCATAGTTAAGTATGGTAGATTAATATCGGTTTGCAAAGAGCTTGATAATTCAATTTTTGCTTTTTCAGCTGCTTCCTTTAATCGTTGCATAGCCATAGCATCTTTAGCTACGTCTATACCTTGCTATAAATAATTAATCATAAATTATGTTATGAATGAATTATTTTCTACTATTCCTTAAATCATTTCAATTGATTAATCTACATACGTCTTTTTTAAATTCGGACGCCAAATAATTAACTAACGCATTATCAAAATCTTCTCCTCCCAAAAATGTGTCTCCATTAGTTGATTTAACTTCAAAAACACCTTTTTGAATTTCTAAAATCGAGATATCGAAAGTACCGCCACCCAAATCGTATACTGCAATACTATAAACAAATATAAACATTAATTAAAAAATTAGTATACATGTATAATTAGTAATAAATTATATAGAAGTATACTTACATTTTGTCAGCCGTTTTATCCATACCGTATGCAAGTGCAGCAGCGGTAGGTTCGTTGATCACTCTAAGTACATTCAATCCAGCAATTTGACCAGCATCTTTCGTAGCTTGTCTTTGCGAATCATTGAAATATGCAGGTACAGTGATAACTGCATTTTTAGCCGGTGTATTAAGATAAGCCTCTGCAGTTTCTTTCATTTTCATAAGCACGAAAGCACCTATTTGACTGGGGGAATACAATTTTCCATCTCCTCCTTGTACCCATGCATCTCCGTTAGATGCTTTAACGATTTTATAAGATACCGTCTTCCTATAATAAAATATAATACATGATAAATATTAAGTAAATTGATGATTCTAAGTTGGAGAATCCTACAATAAAAAAAGTATTGAAAATTATATAAATTATTTACATGTCTTTCTTCACTTCAGGATCATCGAATTTTCTCCCAATGAGTCGTTTGGTTGCATAAAATGTATTAGAAGAGTTTGTAACTGCTTGACGTTTGGCAGGCATACCAATTAAACGTTCATTCTCTGAAATCATATAAACTCATTATTAACATTTTATTCAATCTAAACTGTATGAAGACAAATTAAAAAACAGTTATATTAAAATATTTGTTAAAATAATGAAATAAATAACATTAGGTACAATTACCTTTTGAAAATGCAACGTAAGATGGTGTCGTTCGTGAACCTTCTGAATTTTCAATAACCTTAGCCTGTTTACCTTCCATCACTGCTACACAAGAAAATGTTGTACCAAGATCAATACCAATAACTGCCCCCTTAACACCCTCTGATCTAAAAATATTGAAAATAACTTTATTAATATACAAATTATAAAAATCCATCTAAGCATAGAAGATACCACATTTTAAAAATTATATTCGCTATTTAATGATTATAACAAAAGATTACTTACTTGTAACGACATTGTATGTCTGTGTAACGTTGAGGTACGACAACTCCGGGAGCTGCAGCCTACAAATCATTGATATATGAAATAAAAAACTTATATAAAAAGATATTTAAATAATATATATGTACACTAAAAGAACAATGAAATATATTAGAGATATAATTTACAATAGTATAAGTGATGAAACTTTATTGTATTCTTGCATCATTGATTCTAAAAGATTTATTTGAACCTTATTCATTATGGCTATTATAAAATCGTTAGCACAAAAGTATACTCGAAATAAAAGAAAAGCACGTGCCGGTTTCCGAACCAATAGCTAAGAATGTATTAAATGCGTTGTTACATTGATCAGCAATAATTGCCGTCAAATTTAACAAATTGATACGTAAAAATACATGGTACAATAAGTTATTATTGTTGAGTAATATAAAAATCATACATGATCGATAAGCGTTTTTTTTATAGTCAACGAATTCGTTTGGTAAGTCGGTGAGATATCGAAGTCGCCATCAAAACTTACATTTTTTAATATCGTACTAAATTGCTGTCTTCTAGCGATATCACAGCTGATGCTGTTACAGCTCCTGCTTAACAATCTAGCGGCAGCCAACATTTTTGTTAAATTCTTTTAATGTAGTATACTAATTTCGGTAAAAGAAAAGAGCCGGAAACCCAAAGACCAACTTCACGTGTAATGATGCAACTCTAGCAAGAACCTTAGGCGCACTATACACGCGCACTTCATATAGTTTTTGTGCAACGTTCGTGATGAATATCAAAGTTCTCGCATTGACCAATCGCCATTAACCCATGAAACTTTGAACCAATAGGAACTCGAGCTACTACGCCCTGCCCACTCGTGACTCTAGAACTATCCCGAACATTCGAAAAATATCTCGAATTAATCACGAAGATAAAGTTTATTTGCATGAAAGATTAAAATATTGTATTACCGTCTAAAAATTATTATAATTCTTTGTTATAATATCAATTTTATATAATATAGAGAATATAATTATTGGATTACTGATTCATAAAAGTATATAGATCAAAAGATTGTAAAAGAAGGTTTAAATTCATTAACTTAAGGAAAATTTTCTATTTTTAATGTAAACCAAAGATTGCAAAGTTTATATGTCTATATGAGCGAGAGATTATATTTTATTAAAAAATTAACAACCGGAAATATTGTGAAGTGTAGAAACTATTTCCGGAATTTCAAACAAATCTGTGTTAATCGATCATCAAAATTATCGTATATCGAAAAACGATATAATCGATTAGTCTTTATTTTCTCTTTCACTCCAACAGAGGGTACTGCGTTTATACTCAAATAATCGTTAATTCTCCATCTTGATTACTTGTTGTATCTATGGATAAATAACCTTTTAATAATAATAATTATTTACATTAAAAAGAACGTGGAGTATTTTCAATTCTATACAAAATGACGATAGACATAGTTGAATTATTAAAAGAACCGAGAATGATAAATGTCTGTGCACCAATGGTTAGATATAGTAAGTAAGTAATAACAGAGTATCTTTTATGAATATTTCATTTCATTTTTTACCGCCACTTTTTAATTCAACTAATATTAATTACATATTTTTTATAAATGATTTGTTTTCGTTTAGATTGCCATTTCGAATGTTAGTCAGACAATATGAATGCGATATATGTTTCACACCTATGATAGTGGCAAATTCATTTGTTAAGTCGGCTAAAGCTAGGGACAGCGAATTTTCCACCATAGAGAAGGATACTCCGCTTATTGCGCAATTTGCAGCTAATAATGTAGCAGATTTTACTAACGCAGCTGAAATAGTTGCTCCGTATGCTTCATTTCAATAATTTTATTATAAACAAAAATTGTATTCAGATACATTCATACATAATACAACTTCTCTTTTGCAGATATTGCGATGGAGTTGATTTAAACAGTGGCTGTCCACAACGTTGGGCTATAAATGAAGGATACGGTGTAGACATGTTAAAACATCCAGAACTTGTAAAAGATATAGTGTCTCAAGTTAGAAACCGTGTCTCTAATCCATTCACAGTTTCTGTAAAAATAAGAATATTAAAAGACATTCGCAGAACGGTTGATTTTTGTCAAACATTAGAAAAAGCTGGTGCATCGTTTTTAACCATACACGCGAGAACACCAGAAATGCGTTACGAACCAATACATTTAGATGATCTTAAAATTGTTAGAGACAGTGTACAATTACCGCTTATTGCCAATGGAGATGTAAAGAATTTAGAAAGCGCTCAAAAACTTTATGAAGCTAGTAATTGCGAAGGAATAATGAGTGCAAGAGGTATTTTAGCAAACCCTACTCTTTTTTCGGGTTACAGGACAACGCCACTTAGTTGCATTCAAGATTGGGTAGATATCACAGCCAGGATCGATACTCACTTTTTATGTTTCCATCACCATTTAGTATTTATGACAGAAAAAATGTTATCCAAGAAGGACAGAGTACTTCTTAATATGTTAAAAACGAGAGAATCCGTTTTAGAATTTCTTGGAAATCATTTCAATATAATGCCAAGACCATCTTATGACACAATAGAACAAATATTTTGTGACATCGATGAAAGCAATATCAAATATGATAACGAAAAACATATAAAGAATAGACAAGATATGGAATGTAATAACATCTACGTCGAAAGAGATCAATCTGAAATACCCAATTATCTTCTAGGTGATCTATTTCAAGAAGCATAGAATTCTTAATTGCAATTATTAAAATACATTCCATCACGAGAAAAGAAAATAATATTACTACAAAACTATACTATGTATAGTTTTTAAATGTTATATCATTCTTTTTTTATTTTTTTATAAAATATAACATTTTCGATAGATGTCATATAAAATTCAACTCCATCCTACTAAAATATATAATTTCGACAAAAGTTATAGATAAAATATAAAAAAAATGCTTTTTTGGAAAACTGTGATCCCTCTTTTTTAATTTATTGTGACCATATGCTTTATGCATAATGGATGCTAATGCATAACCATATGTAAATCGAAGGACTGAGGTGACTAGGAACATTTATAAAAACAAATAAGCATGTTCAATAAATATTATTTGCACAGTTCTTTCGAAATATGCTTAAAATAATAGTAATATATTATTATTACAGTAATATTATACTTTTGAAATAAATTAATTTATTAATAAATTATTAATTGTAAATGAAATAAATATATAATATTGCTATATTATAAATAAAAAATTGATAGGTAGACTTGTTTTATTATTGTATATTCAAAATAATAGAATGTTTTTTAGTTTTTTTACTTATATCGAATTTACGTATATAAATACATTTATGGGATTTACAAAAATTCTTAATTCTTATTTATTATTCCTGTATCATGTACAATAATGACTTTCGTAATCAAACAGTAGTAATTATCGACTGTTTCTCCTACGTTTACGTTTCAATACATCCGATAAGTCCGATTCTGGATCATTATCGGTTTAAGAATAATTTACCTTAGGTACATTTCTTTTCGAACTTCTTGTTTTTTTAGTTGGTGATTGCATTTTTTTCACTTTTTTATAAGGTGCATTTGTCGCCATAGTTTCTGATGTAAATTGTTTGATCGCTGTTATCTCGGATGCAGCGATTTCTTTACGCTGAGCAGGTGTTTTAAATGTTCTTTGATGGCAAGACTCTTGACATGCTCTGTTGTGTTAGATTCGTGTGTTGTGATATCATGAATATCCTTACAGTAATCTTGTTTTACTGAAAATTTAATATCGGTCAGTGCTAACTGACAGTTTTTTGGTTAGTTTAGGCCGCGTCAGTCACCGGTGACTGACATTCAACTGTTTTTTCAATAGTAAGTAACGCGCGTGGTCTGATTGGGATTTCCTGTAAAATTTGCGTGGCGCTCAACGTGTTAATCCAATTAATCGATTATGATACAGAAAAGTGTATAAAATAAATTGTTGAAAAAACAAGCGTAAGAGAAAAGAATTTTAATCGTATTTATAAATCATCATTGATAAATTAATTCATTAAATATGCGAATAATTACTGTCGTTTCTACCATCACACGTAATTGTTATTACTATTATTACCATCATAACCTATTTACTACTTGTTTTTCTTTTTTGTAATCATTATTTATGTATTATATATTTTTGATAAAAAATATATTAATATTTTCTTGTATTATTTCAGAAAAAAACTTTTAACGCATTAAAGATTTCCTATCTTAATGTGTGGTTATTCGGATACTACAGCATGAAGGTTTTGCAATCGCTGAAAGAAAAATTGTTGATTGTAATTTAAAAAAAACTAAACACAATTTGAATGCATAATGCATCACGTATTATTTACGTGAAATAAAATTTCGTATGTATAGATAAAAAGATTAGTATACTTTATTATATTGTTTTGTTTATTTTTATCATAACTTTGTTTTACTTATTTTTTTTAGAAATTTTTATTATAATTTTTATAAAATGGCGCAGCTTATCCAAGACACGAATATTACCAGCTCTGTAGCATTTTCTAAATCTTTACAAAATGATGGTATGTAAATATATAATAATTTTCTCTTATATTTGTGTGTGTGTGAATTATTATAGCATATTTCCAAATTATATGATTTCAATATAGATAACGCATTGGATGATAAAGGGCAACTACACGAGAAGGAAGAGAACGATGTTATTTTAATATACGAAAGCTGCGATAGAAAATTGGGAATTAGCAAGAATAGCGAAGTACAGAATAATAAATTGCATAGCACTAAATCGTTCCAAAAAACATTCTCACGACTTGTTACATTTAATAAAATAATGCATTCATCTATCGGAAAAAGAAATTTTCATCTTCTAGAAAAATTGATTTCCATCTATATCAAGTAAGACTTTTTATGATAATTAAGATATTAATACATTATCGACTAAGGTGGAGAAATTTTTTCATTTTGCTATACATATTACTGCACAAGCGATGACAAAGATTTCCCTTTTCACTTAACACCAAACATATTGCGTATTATATTATTTAATATGCTTGTTACAAGTGTCACATTTCTGTTATACACCGATTTCCATTGAGAAACCACATTTGTAATGTTAATCTATATTAAAAATAATTTCTGGACTATGATTGAAATCTTTTCTCCATGACATGGTAGCAAAATTTTTTTACAGTAAACTGTATATAATTAGGTAGATTCTGTATAACATACAATGTGTCAATTAAAAATATACACAATAAAGATAGTTTTTTCTTTTTTAGCAATATTTTAAATTTCATGGAAACGAATTACATTATGACATACGAAGTTATTAAATTGAAAAAGCATATGAGTAATACGTTAACATTTTTTCATTTTTATTGGCACGAAATTAACGAGGTATAATATTTATTATCAAGTGTATTTAAAAAATATATATATTTAAGGATAATTATATCGCGCACATTAACAATTTACTTCTTTTATAGCACATAGAAAATCACAACTGTTATTTAAATAAATTATCAGTATTATTGGCCATATATGTTGATACAGAACTGAAAACTTCTAAATGCAGTAAGGATCCTTCTAAGATTGCTGATAAACTTTTCAATGCGTTATGTATATACTTAAGTAAGTTAAAAATTAAAAAAAAAAGGAATTAAATATTTATATATAATTATATCATATTTTTTTAATAATATGTAATCATATTAATTTCAGATAAATCAAGAGAGCATATATTTAAGGTATTACTCAGGATTAAATTAATTACCAAAAGATATGCACAGATTTGTGATTATATATTCTCGTACGTATTCATTTTTATTTATTAAAAATAAAAAAAGTTTTTTTTTTAAAAGAAAATTATAGTCGATATTCATTTGATTAATTATAATTCTATTTTACAGTAAAAGTTTTAACAATTTAAAAACAAATGAAGAATCTATGACAGGGGTAAAATATGTCAGATATTTATTTACTTTAAAGCTTTGGAGACAAATAAAAAAAGATTCGGAGGAAGCGAAAAAAATTGATGAACTAGCCGTAGCTTTATTAGGATCACATATGCCAAAGATGCATGTAGATTTATTGAAACTTGTACCTAAGCTCCCTTCTAATTGTAAAAATGAAACCTTATGGTTAATGCAACCGAACTTATTCGATTTAAAACAAGCATGTAATGATTTCCTGGTATTCACGGAAAATATGGAAACGACTGAATGTGTTCTATTGCCTTCCACAATAAAATCTACAAAAGTACACAATTATACAAATTCAGAGGTAAATTTTCTCAAATTTTTTACATTTATATATATATCATTAGAATTTGTGTTGTATTGAATATTTTGTTTAAATGTTTAGATAAATATGAATACTAACAAGGATGAAGAAATGCATTCCTTGAGTTGTAATAAATCTGATATAAATCCGAAAACAGGTTTAAATAACAATAAATTGAAAGATAATTCAAAAAAAAATAATAACTCCATAAAAAAGAAAAAACTCCATGCTAAAGAAAAGACGGGAAAAAATAAGAAATACAAATTAGTACCAAATGTAAAGTCAGGAGAAATGATAGTTATTAATTTTTTAAAAGACAACGAACAATCGCAAAATTCTCGTATATCATTGATCAATCACGATAGTTTTCGTAATGCGTTAAATTTAAACGAACGGATAATAAATCCTTGCCTGATTAAAAAATGTGTAGAGGAAAACAGTTTAAACGCCGAATTGTGTAGTCAAAAACAATCTGTGGATATTTTAGATTCGTCTGTACAAAGAAACAAAAATGAACAGTGCGTTAATCAAAATAATTCAATCGATAGATGTGTAGATATAGTTTCATTTGGTTTAAATGCAAACGCGAAAGAAGATTTTGATTTGTTTTCATGGGATGATAACGGTTCTATATCAATGTTTAAAAATATTTCATCTTTGTATTCGTCACCATTACTTATTCAATCGGATGTAAAACTTTCCGAATCAAAAGAATCCTTAACAAATCTTACTTTCACAAACTCTGATTACGAATTCAATGATATGAAAATGGAACAAGGTTATGATTTCCAAGAAGCAAATATATTAAAAGAAAGTAATTTAAAAACGTATACAGCACATCATACTTCATTAGACGAAGTTTGTATTTCTAAAGATGTACCTTCGAGTGATTTGCCAGTCCAAATGGAAGACCTTCTAGTGCCATCATATAATTGCATGTCAACGTCTGCATTGCAATTAGATTTGGAATTACTACCAACAGGAAAGTTGATAGAAACACCTAATTTACCATTATCTTTCAGTCAATATGATTTAGTATCAAATAAACCGATTACTTCGGATTCACAATTTATATTTACCAAGAATGATAATTTGAATATACAACAATTTTTAAATGGACTACAATCGGTTGAAACTCTTGAAAGAATACAACAAAATGTAAAAATATCTTCCGATTACGATCAATTATATGCAGATCAGGATATAATGGAAGATATTAATAATTTTTCGAAACCAGAATCAATGGATTTAGATAAAATTTTACCACAAAAAAAACGTATATCAATGAATCTCCGAAATTCTGTAATTATAAGAGAAGATATATCAAGTGATTCCAATCTCTTATATAAAGTAGAATCGGAAGATAATATTTTAATATCAACAGACAATTCTTGCTTTAAACCTTCGGAAGGAAATATTACAAAGTCTGATCCTCAAGTTGCTAAAGTACTTCTTGTCCAAGATGAATCCTCGAAAGAAACTTCAACGAAGATCTCTATAAAACCAAATATCAGAAAACTTGATACAACGTCGTATAACGAAGAAACATCATCAGTTAAGAGAAGAAAAGTTACGTCTGAACTTCTACCTCTTTTAGATGCAAGTAAAGTTTCATATTCAACAAATACACAGACTAAAACTAAAGATTTACTTTCTGAAATGAAAGGTAATTTGATATTACAATTAGTTACAATTTTGAAACTAATATTATTTTTATATTGTGATAAATACTCTAGAATAATTTATATATACATTTTGTTATTTATGTTTTTACTAGTTCAAATTAATATGCTTGGTTATAAATCTTTTTATTGGAAAATGATACAATTAATTTTATAAATATAGTTTTATGTAAATTAATATCAATCGCGTTAAAAAAAAAGAGAGAATAATATTTACTATGATATAGTAATGTAATAATACGTACATGAATATGTATATATAAAGTATAATTATGTGATATCAACACCTGAAGATGTCTACAGTGAAGATCTATTATTACAAATTACCAATTAAAGTAAAACAAGGAATTTATGTGTGAAAAAAGTGAATAATCTCTAAATTGAAATTTATAGACATTACATATATTTTTTCTTTTATTAAATTGCTATTAATTTTAAAAATTATAATATATAAGATACAGTATATAACAAAGTTAATGGTATTGAAATAAAAATTATGTTGTTTGGTAAAGATTTAGCAAAAGTTCATCTTGAAGTTTTAAAAATTACTTTGTATTTCTGTTTAAAAACAAAATTTTCATTATATATTTTTTACATCATAAAAAAACAAATAATATCAACGTATCGTTTTCAAAAATTTTCAAAATAATATTAATATTTTAGTAAAATATAATTAAATATTATATTTATTTATATTTATTTATTTTTCAGTATAATGGAATCAGTAGTCAAAGTACCGTACCATCGAAGTACAGTTAAAGTATATCATGCAACGTATCATGTAAAAGCTTTTACTATCACCAAAGAAGCAAGAAATTTGCATTGAAAATCTGACAGATGGATGAAGTCTACAAATCCTGTTAATAAGGTATATATAAAAAAATTTAACAAATTAATAAATAATTTTGTGGATATGCCAACATTATTTTAATCATTTGAATGAATGTTAAACTGAAAATTAGTAATTAAGTTTGTAAGTAAACCATCTATAGCTAGGTATAGTAACAATAGTTATTCTCTTCCAATTTTTTGACTATTTGATTATTTGATCGAGAAATTATTGAATCCAGATATGTACATAAAAAATATTTTGTATGTTATCTTAATGTTAAAAGGAAACAGTATTGTATAAATAGTTCATATGATTGTATAATGAAGAATATTTAACAAATACTTGTTCTTTCAATTGTTTTACTTTTAGTTACAAACGTATAATCAAATATTTACAAAAAAAATCAATTTTTTATTGCCTCACTATGAGTTAATTTTTAGATAACTGGTTCTAAAATGATATTACTGAGAAGCATGCAAATATTTTAATAATATAACAAAAACTTGCATTAAATTTTAATTAAATAATAATGAGCAAACGTACATTGATTTTATTTTTAAATCTACAGCATATTAGTATTATTATCAGCATATATTTGCTTAGAATATTTAATGAAGTATAATAATGCAAGTAAAAGTATATGAGAGTAAGGGCACGATGATCTCTTTAGCACTAGTCAAAAATGCTATCTCATTCGAAAAACAGTTGGAATTATTATTCCTTAAATATTCATACGTAGATGATAGTATACAGTGAGTGATCAGTTAATAGAGATAGTTTTGACTGTGAACAAGTCGGACAATAAATGTTTTTGCAAAAGATTTTTATATTCGGATAATAATCACTTTACAGAACCAACATAAGAAGAGCCGACATTGTGTATAAGATTTATAGAATCGTATTTTATTGTTAAAAAAATCGATGATTAGTTAATACGAACAATTTGGATTGTGAACATCATTTTTAAATACTTTATGTTCATTAACCGATCATCCATTGTAATATTGTATAAGAAATAAAATTTCAAATTATAATTAGATTTTTTATAGGAAGAAATGAATTATAATAATACTTTATCTTACAATTATAGTCAAGCTAGAAACTGTAACCAATCTCTTTGCTCTAATTATTCTTATTATATAGTAATGTTAAATCTTAGCAGATTGCAATACGAGAAACAGGGTATATTTTTATTTAAATTCACTCAGTATTATTTATAATATATTCCAAGTACCTTAACATTTTTTAGAAATATTAGGATGAGGATAGAAAAGATATTGTAAGTTTTAGTATCGAAATACTCTGTAATTTATTATTGAAACAATGCGATTTTTTTCTATTATTTAAATATATTTTACAAATCATTGACAGTTAATTGCAAACAAGTGTTACGTTTACTTTGCCAAGTATAAAATTTGTAGTTTAATTTACAGTTAAACTAGTAAAAGACTTATTTTTAAAAAGTGTCATATTTAAGTAGATATACTTAAGATCTAATTTCTTCATTTTGTTGTGTGTGTGTCTTTATTTTCAATTATGATAAAATATACATTAATCTTTTTAATTTTATAATAATAAATTCCTTATTTTTTTAGATTTCAAATATAACAGACTGATTTATACTTCATATTTATTTTTTTATTACTTATAATCGTGTGTCAAAAGATCTACATTGATCTTCGAAGAATGTCCGACTTTGATATTTTTTATATAATCTCATTTATATTTTAATAATATTTTTTTTATTTTGTTTGTTAAATAATGTTTTTACATCTGTGTATATAACCAATTGAGATGCATTAATAAAGTATTTTTTAAAAAAGATATCTTTTTTATTAAATACAATTTAATAATTAAGAATTATATATCCAATCACACACAAAGTTTAAAAAAAGAAGCAAAGTTACATTTAAATAAAAATACATTTTTAATTATATTTAGCCATTATATAATAAATAAAACAAATAGATAAACGTGTACGTATATTCGTAGATAAAAATAATGCGAGTTAATTCATTTAAAATAATTTATATAATTATGTCAAATAATATTAGAGTTATTTAAAAAGAAAAAACTTACGAAAGAAACGTATTTAGTTACTTGCAATCTTATTTTTCAATTATTATAAATTTCTAATACATATGTGTGTGTGTGTGTGTTACGTATTGATTGTAAAACGGGTTATTATTAACATGTTTCGTTTTTTTGCGCAACAAATGTTACAATATATGCGTTTTTTTTCACAATATAAGACAGAGATTAAGTCGAAAGAAAATGAAGGAAAAATTGTATGAAATGAAATTATTGTACATTATATATACATCTAATTTTGATTAAATAAAAAAATTTCCTTTTCTTATATAATAATAAAAAGTCTTTATACATTTACAGATAAATTTGATTTGTTAGTTGATTCTACTTGTTTATGTTTTCATCTATTTGCTGTTATCAACCACACTTTAGTTTACCTTTTAAAAAACTTTATTTAAACAGAATCATATAATAATAATAATAATAATAAATGGCAATATTCATCTAAATTAAGATGCACTAAACATACTCAGTCCACAAAAATTATTTTACAATAAAAAAAGATCGTGTTTTCTCTTTTTCATAATTATAAAAATCATACACATACATATTATACAAATTGAATATATTTTAAATATAAAAAAAGTATTATTTTCTTTTAGTAGTTTAAATTTACATAATATTTTCATCTTTTATTTAAGATTGATTGTGAGTTTTGTATTTTTCAAAACGATGATAATTAAAATGTAATGTCTTTCTTTTAACAATTGCCAAATAAAGTTAACGTAATATAAATTTGTAATAAAGTAAATATACTACTTTCTAAATGTACAAGAAAAATTATCATGTTTTATTCGGTAATTTGTATAGCAATAAAAAATTCTACAAATTTTTACTATTTAAAAAATAAATTAATAAATATAAATTGTTACATTACACAGGTATGAAATTGTTTAAACTCATATTAAATGTAATTAATACTATCAGACTTATTTCTTCAGATATCGTAGTATTGTAAATAATACAAATATGAACATATACGTGAAAGTTGTTAAAATTACATCTTTTTCTGACAGAAGTTGGGAACACTAAATATTCAGACTTTTCTCACAAAAGAAAAAAAGAAATAATTTATTTTAAAAGGAAAAAAAGAAATTAAAAAACTAAAAAAACAATTTTAAAAAGAAGATTATGATATGTGAATACAATCTGTTATTTCTGTATAACAAGTGAGTTATTTGGCAATATAAGTAGAAGTTATTGCTAAACTATGTGAAATGTTCTACCATGTTGTTCGTATAATTAAAAATCACAGATTTGAGATCAGATATTGGGAACATATGGCACTAAAGTATTGTATTCAAGGAATTTGTGTAAATTTAGTTAATCAATAATAATAACTTAAATCCATAAATAATATTTAGCAGTTAATAATTATATTAAAGTTAAATAAATGAAGAAAAAAAAAAGGTGAATATTGGTATATATTTGTCAATTCTAATCGCGAACTATTTATTCTGTTATATTTGAAAGTTATAACTGTATTAAGATAATAATTTTTCATATTAACGTAGATCACCTTTCAAATTGGAATGATAAGTTAAGTTAAAATATTTCAATATATTACATAGTGTTATTTATGTATTGTGGAGCTACGAATCAACTTTTATTTTTACTTTTAAATTTGGCAACTATTGCAAGTTTCATTTCTACGAATTTCTTTGATTATTTTATTGAAATGGTAACGATTAAACAAATATTTATGTACATTTATTAACACATTGATTGCCAAGCGAATGTTATCCGTTTCCATTAACATTTAAACTGATGAAGATTAATTAATGAGCTGATCGATATATATATAATATTTGAAACAATAATTTACTAGTACATTTATTATAAATAATAAAATACAAATTTTTTTCATTTGATTTGTAAATATGTTAAAATTTAGTAATGCCAGTTTATGATAATCATCATAATTGAAGAAGAAATAGGCAATCAATGTATTAAATGGTGGATAGAAGTTATATGTTTTTTTGCATATATTAATGAAGTAAAAAAAAAAAAGAAAAAAAAAGGAAAGAAAAAAGAAATCACATACGATAATGTAATATATTGTCGGTTGAAGAAGATCTTCTATTATTTAAAATTAAAGCTGATATTCGGTAAATATAAAATAAATTAATTGACTAGTTTTATACTATACTTCGATACCTGTGCATGATAATTCATAATTGCTTTATTCCAACATTTATTTATGTGGAATCTCCTATATATATAATATATTTATATGTGTATATATAAAACAAATGGACAGATTAAAATTTTGGAGGACACAAAATATCTCCATCTTTTTTGTCATGTCATTTTTTGGTTCATTTGGCAATTTTTTTGACATCACACAGTTATAAAAGTTGATATTCTTGACGTTTTTATCAAATAATAGATCTGAAAAGAAAAAACAACAATTTTTAGAAAGGTACAAATTTTTAAATTAGTAACATTAACACTTTCGCTATCGGTACCACGTAGAAAAGATTCCAACTATAGCTTAGAACTTATTTTTCGTGTTACTTTTTGCATTATTACCTTTGTAAACTTTGTCTCGTGACTTCGATTCATTCTCGACGCAGTTTTGGTACTATATGATTTGAGTATAACACTGCTGATCATAACAATCATTAACTTAATTTTCATATATATCCCAATCTACTTTCTTCTTTTGCTATAATCTAGAAAAAATATATTTATCAATTAATTAAATTAAATTAATAAAATTTGTAAGATAGAGAACTATATTGTTACAACGATGTGGTAGTAAAGTATATTTTTGAAAGCAAAATTTAAAACAAAAAAAAAATATACATATAATTTTCTATCCTTTTTGATTTATATATAATCATATTCGAAGACAATATCTTACCTCGTAATTAAATTAATACGATGCGCGTGTAAAGTAGAATAATTTGGCATTTTTGTATGTACATAATTACATTTTTAGATATATATATTTTTGAAACTTTTTAATAAGTTAATCACAGCAGTGATAAAACGATATAATTTTAAAGAAATATATATGTTGATTGGAATGAAATTTAAAAAAACTTAAAATAAATTATTACAATATAACATTACATTATTCGAACACAATTTTTACTTCAATTAATTAATTAATCATACAAACACATAAATTTAGAAGTAACAGTCTTAAAATTCTCTACACACACACACACACACACATTACTATAATAAGTAATTAAATATTGTGATAACTAGGAAAAAAAAAAAAATCATTTGCTTCGTAAAAATCTTCCACGAAGATACTTTAGGGAATTTTCATAAATTTCAGTGACGTTTTCCATAGTCGATCTTCCATTTATATGCTGTTATCATGTATAATATCTTCCAACGATGAGAACTCATATCTACACATATGCACATTATATTTATGGGATTTACAAACATTCACAATTTTTGTCACTTATGTCATATCTTCATCTCATTATTTATTATTCCTGTATCATGTACAATAATGACTTTCGTAATCAAACAGTAGTAATTATCGACTGTTTTTCCTACGTTTACGTTTCAATACACCCGATAAGTCCGATTCTGGATCATTATCGGTGTAAGAATAATTTACCTTAGGTACATTTCTTTTCGAACTTCTTGTTTTTCTAGTTGGTGATTGGATTTTTTTTCCTTTTTTATAAGGTACATCTGTCGCCATAGTTTCTGATGTAAATCGTTTGATCGCTGTTAACTCGGATGCAGCGATTTCTTTACGCTGTGCAGGTGTTTTAAATGTTCTTTGATGGTAAGACTCTTGACATGCTGTTGTGTTAGATTCGTGTGTTGTGGTATCGTGAATATCCTTACAGTAATCTCGTCTTACTAAATTAGCAGTAAAATGATAATTACCATGTATATCATCTTTTCTGTTAGGAGACAATGGAAATACTGGTTTTACGATTTGATCCTGATGTTTTTGTATTGTGTCAAGTGGTTCTAAAGCTGCTATGGACATCATAGGTGTACCAGGATAATTATCTAATTTTTCTGTTTTTATTTGTTTTTCTTTGAAATGCATTGACATCATGGCATGGGCCTTTATTCTTTTCTTAAGAGGTAATTTAATATTGAAATTAGTATTACTTAATTTTGACGTGTCGCATTTCATATCAATTGTTTCTAATGTATTATTCTGTAAAAGATCTTTCTCGACTTTACATACAATGTTATCTTCATACAATTTTCCTATAACAGTTTCATTTTTCGTCCTGTCATGTTCCTGGACGGTGGATGCTTGTACTGACGAATGCGTAGGCAAAAAATATGAGTTACTTTCAATGCACGATACGTGAGAATCTGTACCAGGGTGTATACATTGTCGACAATGCGTAACTATATCATATGTATAATTTAAGCAAGAACAATGCGATCTTCCACAAGAGTTGTTTGAATTTACATGAGAGTGCAAAGATGCGGTAGTATTTATTTGCAAACTACAAGAGGCAGACTTACAGTGTTTGTGATATGGCATACATAAATCTGTAGCAGCTGAACAATTGCTACATATTGACTGTGGTAATGCGGTAGGATGAGATGCAGGAATATGTAATGGGTGTTGAGATTCAATTGTTTCGTGCGAATGTGAGTGCATTCCTGCATATCCTTGCACAGTATAATTAGTTGGAATTCGATTGGGAGGAAGCGTAGTAAATTCTTGTTTAATATTTCGTCTACAAGCAGAAACAGATTTTGATGAGGATTTATGTTTATTATCGTTGCTTTCGTTAACTATTGTTACGTTTGCAGCATCGATATCTTGTAAAGTTGTTTGAAGATTAGATAATCTATTTGTTCTATGAGAAATTTTCTTCGTGTACAATTCTTTTTCTTCCAGATTTAATATAGCATTGTCTTCTTTAGGTTCTATTTTAATATTCGTTTTTCCACCAATAGAATGTTTTTCCTGTATGAAATTATGATCCAAAGCATTAACAATTTCGTAAGACGAACCATTTTCTGAAAGTGGTGAAACCCAAGATTTTTCCGTTATTTTATTCGTATCATTGTCATTATGATTTCTTGCATTTTCAACAGCTTTGTTGATGATGTACAAATTACTATTAGGAGATTTTTGCAACAATACAACTGTTTCTCCATTGTGTATAACATTCGTATTTTCTTTAGTTGATTGTACATTGTTCTCGAGCGGAACCATAACATTTGATATCGTATCCGATGTTTCATAATTCATAGAACCTTGGAAAATACGAGGAACGTTATTAACGGAAGATGTATTTTCAGCGTTTGTGGCATTTTCACTGCTAGCAGAAATTAAATTAACACAAAGTTCAACTTTTTTCGGATAAACACCATCCTCTGGGTAAACTCCAACGATCCGTTTAATTAATTCAGATGTAGGATTTTTACAAAATTGTGATATAGTATTAGACGAATCATTGGTATCCGTTTCGTCGTCGATTACTTCATTGGATGATATATTTTTTAAAACTGCATAATCTTTAACTTTTATTTGATCACATTGTTTCTCGGATTCAGCTTTTAAGTGTGGCACATGTTGCGATACACTAGCTAATAAGGAAAGACCATCAATATTTTCTTCGGTATTTAACTCAGTACAATGCAGAATATATCCCTTATCAGATATTTTAGAATCGTTGTTTATTTCTTCAATTTCATAAGTGTCCTTATTTTTATTCTTGATTATATTACTATCATGAGAATGTTTTAATAGTTGTACATCTTTCTGAAAAATAGTCGGTGATACGGTATAACTAGGCGACTTACTCTTATCTAGATTTTCTATAACATCTTTTTGGGCAGAGTCGTTATCATTGTATATTTGTTTGTCATATTCTACAGATTGATTTACATATTGATTATTTACAGTGTCTTCTTTGCACATACGTTTAATTTCATTATCATTAATTGCCGTATTCTTAGCAATATTAATTACATTTTCTTCCGTATCATAGATTTTATTCTCAAAATCAATCGACTTAACGACGTTCATATCGTCGTCAACTTCGATACTGTTATCAATTTCAACTTCAGCTTGTACATCTGAATCGTCTCCGTTCATTACGCTGAAACTTATTGTACTATTTAAATATCCTGGACAAGAAACTTCAGAATGATTTTGTGATTCGCAAAATATTTGCTGTTGATCTAAGATTTCATTATTTATTAGAATATCTTTTTTATCGTATGCATTAATAATAGGTGATTTTAAAATTGTACATCTCTCAGATTCTATATTTTTATTCGTATTACTATTTTCTAATTCAATAGCGCTTATATTTCGGCTTTCGCCAGTTTTTTCTAAATAAGAATTCGTAGACAGATTTTGTTCTTCTTTTACACAAGCGGATTTTACATTTTTATTAACCAACGTATTCTGATCACCGTGCTCATCTTGATTATTTTTAAAATAGACAACTACGTTCTCAGATGTGCTATTTTCTTCTACAGTCTTACTAAGATTTAGGCTATCTATCTCGTCTTTGGAGTTACACTGAGAATCTATTGTGATACTTTCTATAATTGAAGGTTGTGGTTTTAAATCACAGATTTTCTTTTTACCATCGCTTTTTTCACATATTTCATTCTCTATAGAAATGTCTTTTTCTATCAGTCGTTTAATCACAGCCGGTTTAAGTCTATCGTTTATAGCGTTATCTTTCTTTAATACCAAAACACCATTATCATTATAATATTTCCGAGTATTTGTAGTAGGAGCATCTACAATTTCAACAGGTGCATCCAATGAACGTTCATTGTTATCAGAAGATGATTTAGTTGTTTCTGTATCAATATTGACATCATTTATATTTTTTGTATAAATCATCGACGATGATAATTTTTCACTAGTTAGTGACTTTGGAGGTGATGAAACAATAAGAGTAGGATTCTCCGAATCCGTGTTACCACTGATTTTAACATCACACATAAAAGTATCTACTGCATCATTTTTGGAAGTTATTTTAGGAGTCTTTAATGATGTATTTTGCAATTGATAATCACTTTCCGCTTCGAACTTCGATGAAGTGGTATTATCCAACTTCTTCTGTATTCTACTTTTCATCTTCATAGATGTTTTCATTGATTTCAAACCTATTTGTTTTTTGGCTTCTTCCAACCACGCAGGTTTCTTTGATCTTCTCTTGTTTACCAGGCATTTTTCAAGCTCTACGTCACTCGTTAGATCAATGAGTATAACTTTTTGAGGTTTTTTCGACTTTCTTTGAGAAAAAGATTTAATTTTCGTAAATAATTTGGGAACATTACGATTGGTAGAAATATTATCTGAAATTTTACCTAAATTTTTCAAACGTGTCTCGTCTGCCATAGTTACAGATTTACAAGAGTTATGCGAGGAAATAATGTTACTACAACTACCGTTATCAGATAAATTAGAATTGACGTTATTATAAAAATTGTCTACGTTTTTAGGAGTTAGATCAACGTCCTGACAAGAAAAAAAGCCATGATTATTAATACGCAATATTAATTATTTAAAAAAAAAACGAAAAGGCTTTTTTAACGCAATAAATTATGTTATGTGTCATAACTATGTTTTCACATAAACATATAATTGTTATATATACAATGTAATATTGTACTATGTATATTGTAATACAAGGTATCCCAGTTTTTATCCGCAATATTTTACTAATATATTCTCTACGTAGAATTAAGAAAAATATGTTATATAAACAGGATCTCTTAAATTTTCAATTAGAATGTTATACAATGCTACAATTATGCGGTAAAAACTGGTACATATATAACGACAAATAAAAAATAATTATCAATCATATAACTGTTAATATCCAATTATCAAATTAAATTTGTATAAGACTTAAATAATATTATAAATTTTGATTACCTTTTCTATATCACATATACTGGATGAACTCGTAGTGTCTCTTACATCCTTACTGTATTCTTTATATATATTTTTATTACTTTCTTTAGAAAATTGTACAAAGACTTCGCAAGTCCTTCTTGTGTCAAATTTGTCGTGTAAAAGTAATTTAGCGGGGTTTGGTTGAAACTTTGGCACTTTTGGTAATACACCATCCAATAAATGTGGAAATGTAGGTGGGGGCCCAAGAGAAGTAACCGCAATTGAAGTGATTTCATTTTTTATTGGCGTGTTACTATTTATTTTCCTCCATAGACGATACACAAGTAAGTAACGCACGTACATGATGTTTGATTCTGGATGCAAGGGAATATTTTTGATAATCTTCCTGTAAACATGCAACTTCAATTAGAATACGAATAATTAATTTATATAAGAAAAAACAATCCGTTAAAGAGTTCTTACGTTATTACTGGATTTAAAATCCCATGGTAACTTCGATACATAAATTGCACCTTTATCAGAGTATCCAGCAAATGTTCCGTGGAATGTTCTGCAACAAAGATATCCAATCATTCACACAATGTGATAATTTTATGAATTAAACATAATTAGTTTTGAATACATACCAAGATAAACGTATAGACAAGAAATAAGCCTAGCACAAATATTACCCTGGTCTTCCTTAGTCCTTTTTGATGCTTTTAATTCTATGTCTATATATATTGCCAATAAGTCTGACATATAATTAAGATAAATACATCTACCATGATTCTGTAAGATAAATAGATTGATTTAAATATTTATTTGATAATTTTTTAATCACTATTTTTATATTCTTACCTCTGAAAGCATACGGTAGATATTTAAGAATACAATTAAGGTATCACTAATTGATTCTTTCAAGCATGCTGCCCATGAAGGTTTTGAGTAACATTCTTTTGCACTGACGCTTATATTTCTGTAATGAAAAAATAAGATTAACTTTATTATTCAATGTTTCATAGATCAGATAACAAATCTTTACAAACTATAATCAGTATTTTCATACAAATTATACACATTTCGCTTGAATATATGGGTTTGAATAATTATAATTATCATTTCAAAATATAGAATCCTAATTGACTAGTATGCAAAACTTACTTTTAACTATACAAACATTTACTTTAATAAAGTAAATAACCAATTGTTACAAATGTTTACAAATTAAAATAAATATTCTCGTGTAATTATGCAAATTTCATATGAATGAATATGGATTTGCATAATTATGATTATCATTCAAAAATATGGAATCATAATTGAGTATTATGCTAAATGTACTTGTACTATACGCACACGTACACGCGCACGCAACGTACGCGCATATTATATTGTATATTCACATAACGAATTGCTATTATTTTTAAAAAACCAGTTCTCGGATAATTGATACTGGTAAATCGGTAACAAATTAAAATGTATACAACATATATATATATATTTAAACAAGAAAACAATAATAAATAATAATTTTTATCTACATTACCTTGTATAATATTGCATAAGTTCGGTTAGCTTATGAATACTGAAGTCCCGATATATTACTTCGAATTTTTGTTGAAACTCACAAACCCATGGAAATAAATCTGCTGTTGAGGATTTTATATTTTTTTCCATATTGCTTTCTGCACTGTTGTTAATGGTAGAATTTGTTTGAGCTGCGATATTTGTAACAACGTAAACGTTAACGAACAAAATAAAACATTCCAATACATCGATCGCAAATAAAAAAAAATATATGTATATATATATATATATATATATATAATACAAATTACTGATAAATCGATATTATTTTTTTATCGATTATAACGTGTAAGAAATAATATTTGATTAAAAACGTTTCCGATCTTACAAGCGGCAAAATGTATGAAAATATTTCAATTAGTAAAAGATTTTACACGTTTCTTCGTCGATAAAAATGAAAAAATAAAAAAATAAAAAAAAAATAAACGACACAATACCTATTACAAAATAAACAGGAAAACAAAAGAAAATAAAAAATAGGTATAAAAATATTAAACAATAGTACAACAAATAACCGGCAAATAATAAATGCGTATTAAAACAAGTAACCATTATCTAAATCAACATAATTTTCTGTCATCAAATTTTATTCCAAAAAAATCGACGCATGTTTCTAGAATTCAACGAAGAATCTATTCTCGTGGTGACGTTCGAATGGTAACGATGAAAACCGAAAAGAAGATAAATGTGGATTGAGATATACATGATAAAAAAAAAAACAGAAAAAAAGAAAGAAAGTTTAAAAAAAAAAACAAAATAGAAAAGTCACAAATTGTATCGATCTACTATCAACGATGATGACAGTTTAATTATTACGTTATCGAATTTCCGTGTAATATAATTTTGGGACGATATAAAAAAAAAAAAAAAGAAAAAAATATATATATACAAATATAACACATGTGGTGTTAGAAAAAATCCCGGATGGGAAGAAAACGGGAAACGCATATAAGTGAAAACAACGGCGTTACCTTTCTTTGAGATATCCAACGCAGTATTATTGATCGTGCTTAGGGTGGTCTCCATCATATCGGTCTTGTTGTTACGAAATACCACCTTTGAATAAAGAAACAGTTATATTTATATTACGTAAATGCGTATTTAACCTCGATGGCACACCTCATGTTAAAGGAGAAATATTGTTTGATAGATAGACAGAGAGACAGACAGAGAGAAGAAATTGGAGAGTTAATGCGTCGGCATCCTCTCACGAACTGCACTCTCAGCAACGACCATTTTGATACTGCCGTTTGCTGCTACTGCCGTAAGAGAGCGCGTCACATACGTGCTTTCTCTCATTACTCTTATTCTTTCTAACTATGTTGATATATGTATTATTTTATACGTGTATTCGTATATATGTATATATTACATAAATCTATATATATATATATACACACACAAAATATATATAGCGTCTACTTGGTATAACTATAGTATCGTAACTATCACGTGCTTTCTGTAATTTATGTGTGAGAACGTGTACGTGGTGGTTGTATATGTGTGTGTGTGTGTGTATGTGATCGTGTTACATCCGAAACGACGCCTTGCGATATGTTTTATTAATTTTTACCCTTTTTTTTTCCCCTCTTTTTTTGTATTATTGAATGAACGAATTCGCGTTAACCGGTTTATTCTGACATAATACAAAAACAAAAAGTGTAATGTTTAAGTATTTTAAGAACGGGGAACACGGATTCTTACGCGTAGTAAATCACGTTGCAAACATAACGAACTATACGGGGAGGTAAAAAAGAACTTATGGAGAAAAAATTCTCCGGGTTTGTGTAACGATGTGACGCAGCGCTTTCAGAAACGTTCATCGACGGTGGTAAGTAAATCAGCCAATGGCCGCACGGCTGGGCGTTATGACCAACCAATCGCGATGGATGTTACATAGTCGGTCATCTTACAGGGGATCCAATCGGATGCGAGCAATTAAGAAAATTCAACACGCTACGCACATTTACACATGTACAATCTCCATTTATACGACTTTTTTCGTAATTTTTTTTTTCTCTTTCATTTTTCGCTCACCCGTTCTTTTATAAAGGTTAGACGAAGTACATTTTAATGCTAACTAACAATTATTAAGTATATAATTAAAAAGAAAGAAATGCAAATATGAACGAGAACACAGTTGCGCGCTTGTTCCTTTTTTGTTTCTATACATAGTTTGCTTTGTAAACTGTTTTTCGTTTTAATAAATATATATCACATAGAAATATAATTATGGTTGAAAGAACTCTCCCTGCAGTTACATTTGCGTTGAATGCTACGAAATATTTACGGATGGGATATTTTTATGGATAGACATAAAACGTTACAAAAAAACCTTTCTTGTAATAGGATTAATGTATCGAAAAAATTACAACTATATTTGAACTATTATAAAATATGTAGTTTTACTTTTTTGATACAGAAGAAATTTGTTTTAAATACTTTGTACAAAATTTGTGTGTTTAAATTTTTAAATAATATTCTGCTTGATATTGATGATATTTTGTAAAAAAATCATTAACAATAAATGCGTTCAAATAATAATAATAATAATAATAATAATTATGCGTCAAAAATTCGCAATAATCTCGAAAGATAACTTCATAAGAATCATTCTAAACTGTATATACTCGAAATGTTATTTCTAATGTTTTCTTCCTATCTTTGCAGTTTTCCATATAAAAAATGTAAACCCATGTCTTTTGATTTAATTCTTTTTTTCGATTTTTTTTGTTTTTTATTAATTAGTCAATCTTTGTTGTCTAAAAAATAAAATAAAACTTATTGCTATTTCAAAACTGAGTTCATAAAGATTGTAACAGTTTATCAACTTGTGTATTTTGTAAGATAGAACTTTGATTTTTACGGAACAATGATCTTTAATTGTCTTTTCTTCAATAATACCCCAAATCCAGTTCTTGGTCTCAAGGGATTAAGTCGAACCGGGTATCATCTCGTTATATGTATAATACAATATATATATATATATATATATATATATTTGTGTGTGTTATCGACACGAAGCTTCTGCTTTACCTTCAAACATGTAGTCACAAAGGATTAAGTTTGTTTTAGGATATCCTGAAAACTTACGTTTACTTTACTCTTTAGCTTGTTAACCGTATTTTCGAGAAACGAGACGAAAATGCATACAGTGCCTAAAATGTATACTCCAAAATTACGCTCGTACATATTTATTAAATTCACCTTTTCTATATAGGTTTAATAAATTAACGATAACATAAATGCCTATATTAAATCTTTAAAATGTAATATTTTCATTTATTTTTTTATTTTAATATCATCATTAAACTTAGGTATGTTTAATGTATTTTTTCGGCAAATCAATAAGCATTTAAAATTCGCAAACATGCATTTGTATTTTTACTTAAAATAATAAAGCGAGTTAATTGAAGTTTTAGAGATATTCGTTTTATTTATTGTTTAACATAACGAAAAATAAATATAACGATAGTCGATTTGATGAACGCTTTCGTTAAAACTGGAAATCAAATAATCCAAAATGTTATTTCTATTACCACTCGTAAACTACGACATAGCAAGTAACTAAACTACGAAAGAGAATAATAATAGCGGAGTTTAGAAATCTGCGAAGATATATAATATACCATTATTTCCATCAAGTTCTATTTTTGCATACAAACGAGAACAGATTTTTCTCGTTCGATGCTGGTTTATACAGGAATGCGTTTTACTCACGTTCCAACGTGAAAAGTAACAATAACATCTGTAAAAAGAATCATTATTAATCTTTATATTAATAAACTTTCTTACATATCATTTTTCGCGTTACGTTTTACTATTAATTATTTAACAATTATTATTATCGTTTAGAAGGAGGGGAGTATAACGAAAATATAAATAAAAAAATCGTTGATTCAAGGATATAAACGTCCTTTAAAAATATAATTAAAAAAAGATCGTCTTTTTATATATTTATATATTTTATTAGGGTGAATCACAAAAGTTTGTACATTTATTGCATTGAAACTATACTTACTTATCTGCTCAATTTTTTCTTTTCTTTTTGACATTTTTGGCCGGATAAGTTATATATATATATATATGCATAAAAGGTGCGCCTAATGGTATACGTAAAATTCCTAAATCCTCAAATGAATATAGCAGCTAATGGGGATCATTAAAAGAAAAAAAAACACCGCAGGAACTTTTGATTCACCCTAATATCGAAATAAATAAAAAAGGGGGAATAGAAAGTATAGTTGATAAGAGAAATTTGAAGAGGGATCGTAAGCGCGATTAAAAGAAAAATAAGAAGAATAAGAAGAAGAAAAAGAAAAAGAAAAAGTAAAAGTAAAAGAAAAAGAAAAAGAAGAAGAAGTGTGACACAGTGGAAAATGAAAAGCAAGTTTTGAAGAGCGCTTGCGCCCATCCTCTAATGGAAAGGTCGGTCGGTTCTCTCGGTCGTTGTCGGTGATCCTTCGTCGGCCCCCGCCCACCCCCGCAGCCACCCACACTGGCACCGTTCGGGTTTTTAGCCGGTGTTCAGGCGGTGTCGCCCACTTCGGGCTCAGTGAGCCGGTGTATGAGCGCCGCGACGCCTACCAACAGACCAGGTTTAATTTGTCGACGTTGTCAACGTCGTCGTCGTCGTCTTCCTCGTCCTCGTCGTCGTCGTTGTCGTCGTCAACGTCAACGTCAACGTCGTTGTCATTGTCGTTGTCATTGTCGTCGTTTTTCGTCGTCGACGGCGTCGTCGGCGTCCTCGTCGTCCTCCTCTTCGTCGTCTTTGTCGTCGTCGTCGTCGTCCTCGTTGTTGCTGTTCTCATCATCATCATCATCGTCATCGTTTTCGTTGTCGTCCTCGTTTTTCCTTCGTTTTCATTGTCATCTTTCTCCATAACACGTCAAACACTATCGTGCAATACTCATCCTTTTCTTTTCTCATCTTTTCATCGTTGGACAAGGAACACCACTTGTCATCATCATCATTATCATAATCATCATAATCGTCATGGTTCTCCATTACTTTAACATTTTCTATTGCTCTATCTGAAAGTTTCGATTATTATCCTGAACGCCGTTGTCTCTTTTTCGTTCACGAGACAATCAACAACCGCCATTCAACAATATCATCCACAACTTGTCAACTAACCACTACGATGATCACTGTCATGTCAACTTGAATCTTTCCACATCATCATCATCATCGTCATCGTTGTCATCGTCGTCGTCGTCGTCTGCCGATCACAAAAACGCGAACATCGAGGCAGGTATAAACAACATGATCATTGTATTGAGTGTTACGCGAGATACCGACGGGAATTTTTACCTGATGGGGTGAGCTACAGAGGGAAAATATACACATTTACGTGCATGCGTGTCGCGTCATAGAGACGGAGATAGAAAGAGAAAGAGTGAGAAGGGGGGGGGGTGAAAGTTGATGGAAGGAGTGGGAGAGAGAATATTACAATCCTTTTGACTTATCTTTCTCTCTCTTTCTCTTTTCTATACTTACATTTCTCTTTCATTTCCCCGTTGGCACACACACACACACACACACACATTCCTCTCTACACTGTACCCCCCTTGTTTCAATGTTTTTTCTTTTACTCTTTGATACTCGCTCTTCCCCTTCCCCTACCCTTACCTCCACCCCCTATTAACGGCCCTCTTTTCTTTAGCTGATGGATGACGATCGGTTTCTCAACATGTGCTTCGTCTCTCATCGTATTCTTGTTATGTTTAGAGTTGAAAATACTTATAGGATTAAATGGTATATTTATTTATATTTTTGTAAAGTATTATAATTAGATGCAGGCGTGCTGATTGATCCTTTAAATGTCACGAGAGTGAGAGAGAGAGAGAGGTTTACTTAAACATAAACCAAAAGCTTTTTTTTTTAAATGTATCTCTAATATATCTACGTTTGCAAAGAATTAGAATGAAATATTCCGTAGAAATGATATGTTAGTTGAAGATTAATGATTTAAAAAAAAATGGATCGAAGGTGAGATTAACGGTTTCGTTCGTTCGTTGCACTATATTAAGAAATTTCATTTCATTCAGCGTGAATATATTTATGTTAAAAGCATTAATATATTAGTCGATCGCGTGACTCCTCACACGTCTTTTTTCTCATTTAATAGAAAACATGATAAATGAAATGGATATTAACAAAGAGAGGAGAATAGGGGGTGATAATATGATTTCTTTTTTTTTTCTTTTTTGTAAGTTATATACACGATAATAGGATTTTTCTTCGATAATAGGAGATTATCGAGAAATGTTATATCCACATTGTTTAAAATAATATTCTGTATAATTAATTTCGGGAGGTATTAATTTAATAATCAATTCGATAATTTTAGAACGTTAAAGAGAAGATAATTGACCAATTCAATTGGAAAATCGAATAATTTGTATTAATTTGCTAATTAATTTCATTATCTATTATTTTTGAAGTTATTATTTTGTAGTTGTTGTTGTTGTTGTTGTTGTTGCTTCGTTAGTAAAAAGAGTATTCAACTTTGTGATTCATTTTCCCCTTTCGCGCGCGCGTCTAATCGACTAGTAATTTTTCATTTTTTATTCTTTCCTCTCGTACGGATTCTGTTTTCGGGAAATATCGATCGACCAGTTAAATTGGACGAGAACGTGCTCGAAGACAAAGAGAATAAGAGTACCTGTTGATTCTGAGATATAATTCATTGACGCGCAAAAGCTTATATCATGATTCATAAACACGTCCGTTATATTCCCCGATTCATTTTTCTTTTTTTTTTCTTTTTTTTTTTTGCCTTCATATAATCCCTTTCAAAAGTTACAGAATTTTTTCTTCTAACTCGTTGAAACTTACACAGTCCTTCTTGTACAAAAAAAAATTCATTGACCGTTTTATTAATATATCACAAAGAAAGGGCAAATAAATGTCAACTTATAATATTACGTGTCCCGGTTTGATCGGTGACAAATTTTCTTAAACGTAATTCATCGCGAAACGGATTGTCAAATATTTAAAAATCAACTTTTTCCTTTAATCCGATAAGAATAATCATTGTCAATTAGATTCGAATGTTAATTTTTCAAGTTGACTAAGCTTTTCCTTGCCATCGGACGATAATTTTGATCAGATAGAAAAATCAAGGAATACAATTTAATAAAATATTTATATGTTTTTTTTTCGTCAGATAGATTATAAAATGCACACGCACACACGCACACGCACACAAACACAATATTATCATACAATAATGTATATTATATTCATTTGAAATGCATTGTCACGAATAATTGAACATACACGTGTATGCCAACATAATCAAAGATAGTTGTTAGGTGCATAGAAATCTGAACTCATGGGAATTCGATGGTTAGATGATCCGCATATATAATACGTGCATGTTTCGCATACCAACGAGCCTCGATTATTTGTTCGATCGATGGAACAACATATTCGTTGACATCTTTTTATTTTTGTTGTTGTCATCAACGAACGACGATTACAATTTCCTCCACGCCCTCCCCTCGCCCCGTCCCTTTCTCTCATCAATGGTGCGTCAATTGTCTCCATTAATTATTATTGTTTTTTTCTTTTCTTTTGTCCGAAGGTGCGTTCGAAATTTTTCCCGTAGATCGATCATCCTCCATCCAATCAATCGGAACTTGGTGTTTAAATCGATATTATTATTTTCCTAATAACGTTTAAACGAAAATGATGGGGGAAAAAGAAAAAAAATACAACTGACGAATAAAATGAAGTGCGCGATTTGATTGAACTGTTAAAATTATTATTGATATTCATTCGAATTGATATGATCAACGCGTATGTTTCTAACGTTTATAACGTTTCAAACTTGGACAATGCTCGGCTGGAAGAGAACATACTACGATACGTGTCGATATCAAAGATATCCGTTTGATGATGATGATGATGATGATGATAATGATTTTATGAACCTGCCGCCGATATCTTCATTTTTTATCCCATAAACGGAAACTACCGAGTAAATCTTCTGAGTTACGACGAGTGAAACGGTCGAGTTAAACGGTGAGTATTATTCATTTTATTTATTATCCTTTAACAACGTACAGTTCTTTATGATCTAATAAAAATAAATTGTATATTTTTACATAGAATTAATATTATTTAAAAATATTTAAACAAAAATAAACTCTTTCTCTATCTATCTCTCTCTCATATATATAAATCTATCTATTCGTTTGATATCTTTTCAAAGATTTTACATTAAAAAAGAATAAAGTTGAGAATAAAGCTATGATACCTAAATTGAATGATAATCTCGCGTGCATCAATAAACAGAAACAGAGCAACTTGGTTTATATTTGGCAGCGAGGGAACACGAATCAAACGGTATTCAATAATCACCTTGGTGATTAAATCTGTTCCCAGTATCCTTTGACTCTTGCTTGCTTGTATCAATCTTCCTCGTTTATATCATAACGAATAATGAAATTCGACGAGTCATGGTTCGTTCAGTTACGCGATATATTCGTCTTGACGTCAAAGAGAATTTGCCGTCATTAAGTCAGCAGCCACACTACTCTACGCAATACGTATATGTATATACATATATATATATATATATATATGTGTGTATTTTATGCGCTCATCCCATTCGAATTCTCTACCTTGGCAAAACCCGACAGCAGCTTTGTAGGCTATCACGAGTAAACATTATTTAAGTTTACTCATAAATTCCTGGAATTTCTAATTAATCTATTCGTTCGTGTTCTGGAAGTTTGTTGTGTGATCGATACAAAAATATAAATCAATTTTTGTTTTTTTATTAAATAAATTATAATTAAAGATCACGTTCTAAAAATTAATTATCTATTGTGAGATTAATGTATTCGTTATATTTGACAATTAGTTTTCAAGCAATTCAATACTTTGTATTTTATATATATATATATAGATGATTTAGAGATAAATTTATAATCAATATATTATATATTTACAATATTTAAATCCTTTTCGTAAATATTTGGATTACTTTTATACACGATTGGATTTTAGTGTCGTTCGGTTGATACAAATAAAATTTATCAAATAATTTATAGATACATGTACATATATATAACTGATATAGGAATTCGCGTTACCGCGAAAAAATGTTGGACAAAATCCAAACACGTGCGCCATTGGCAATTCCCATTCTCGAATGTTTGTGGTTTTAATATTTCACTTAAATATATTTGCTCCTGTTTCTATATCGCATAGGGGTGCATACGTACGTGCATATATACTTTTTCTATACGTTCATGTAAATACATAGAAAAAGAAAAAAAAGAAAAGAATAAAAAAGAAATCTTGCAAAACTTGTTATATCCAATATATAAAAGAAACGTTGTTTGCAATCCTCCTTGCTGTCTTTTATCCCGGTTAACCAAAATTATCGACCAACTTGAAAACTTCTCTATGTTTAAAATCTTTTTTCGTATTTCCTGGTTTTGAAAGGGTGCGCCAGATGGTCTCTTCGTTTAATACTCGCGCCTGCTGCAGTTTTTTCAACAATATCGTATATTATTTCCATTTCTTTCTTTCCGATTTCTTTCCTACGTTTGCTGATCGGCAAAACTGACCGAGAAACAATAAAACTTGCGTACGTTTTTTTTCCTCTCGGACATTGTACGATTGATTGTTCATGCAGACTGGAAAAAAAATATACAAAAAGTAAAAAACATAATTACTTACATTACGATACGTGAATGCATGAGTAGATTTTCGAAACTACTACTATACACATAAATGCCAATTTACATATACACAGATACACACACGTCTATGCAATAAGCAATGAACATTTCGGAATTGTTTTTTTTTCTTTCTTTTTATTTTTTAATTAATTGTGCTTAATCTTTCGCGTCTTATTATTTTCTATCAAATAAGATAATTAACAAGAGTTTATAAGTATGTAATTAATGTTAAAACGATTTTTCATGATATTTCTTTATTATATTTTTTTTTACTGTATATTAATTATTTATTCGTAATTTAATTCGATTCTTTTGGATAAGTATATGTATAACAACAATGACATTAAACAATCCATAAAAGTAAAAAAGATAAAAACTTCAGCGTGCTCCAATATTGAATTTATCTAATTATCGGCATCCTTATAAAGTTAGATCCGATTTACCTGTTATTTTCTTGTTTTTTTCTTTTCAGTTATTTTCTTATTGTTACGAAAAGAGTAATTTATAATATCATTTGTCTCTTTCCTTATTTTAACGATTCTTCATTCGATTAATTACACAACGTAGATTAATTTAAATTAAATATCAGATAAAATCGGTATCCGCTTATTCGTATTTTCTTTTTTTTTTTTTTTATCTCGAACGAATTCACCTCATACATAAATTAATTAATTAATTAAAGTGTTACCATATACGTTTATCAGTAACATTATTATTTTACGAAATATTATTGCGAAAGCCATAAGTTCATATATATATATAATTATAATAAACATGGTTAAGAATTTATGAAAGACGATCGCTTTAATTAACTAGATATAATCGTATTATATGTATAAAAAATTAATTCAGAAAAAAAAAATGAAATAATAGAAATAGTTACATTATACGTTCTAACGATCATCTGAATAGATAAGAGATTAAAAATTATCTACACTGCTGCTACGCGTTATTGAAACTAAAGACCGTAAAGATGGGAAGAAAAAAAAAAAAACTCTCTCGAGGACAAATAAACTATAATGTGACTTCGACTTCGTGAATTATTTTTCTTTTTTTTTTTTTAATTTAATACACGAACACGATTACGGAAAAAAGAATTTCATTTCATTTTATAATACATAGATTTCTTTTAAAAATATATATTATATATACATATATAT